GGAGGCTGGGAGGGGGCGGTGGCGGGATCCCCCCTCCCGTCAAACGCAGCAGCGCCGCCGCCGCCTTCGGAAGCCCCTCCTGCCCCCACTCAGTCCAGGGGCGGGTGGGGGGGGGGCGTCGCGGTCACCCTGCTGCTTATTTGTGCAAGGACGCCGCTTCCTCCCGTTTCCCCTCTAACCACCACCCTGCGAGGAGGCCCGGGCTGAGCGCCGGACCCCCCTTCCCTTCCCCACCGCTGCCGGAGCAGCAGGATCTCGTGCATCTCATGCCATGTGCAGGGTGGGCCGAATAACGGTGCCAATCGCACTGGGCGTCTGGGAAACGACCGCTGCTCCTGCAGTTCAGACCCACCTCAAGGATGTGAGCAGGAGCCGCTGAAGCAGAAACCCCCCCCCCCAAAAAAAACACCTCACTTCCCTTGGTTTTTTTTTCCTGTTGGTGGCTGAGTGTTAGGTAATCCCTCCATCTATTCAGCGTATGCTGTGTGCTATGCAGACCCTTTAAATTAGGTAAAGTCCCCAATCCCCCCTTATACCCCCCTCAGTTTCAGAGGAAGCCCGAGAGTGAAAACACTCTGGGAATCCAACTGGAAGCCCCAGCCTCTCCCTAGGCCTTGAAGGACACCCACTTCAGAGCATCACTGCCTGGCCTGAAGGTAGCCACTCTCGGGGGCTCCTGAGCAGATGATAAGAAAGGACCTCCTGGTTTCCCTGAGGCTGGCTTTAATGAAGGGGCTGGGGAGGGGGAGTCCCCCCAAGTCCTTTCCCACCAGCACAATTGCTCCTACTTTTGCTCTTCATTGGATTATCTGGCTCAGTTGTTTCATATCTGTTTTCTTTTGATTTTCATCCTTCACAGAGCCAATTTGAGTTTAACATTTCTGTTCTCACTGTGGTTTAGTATGTTTTCATGATCGCTTGGCATAGGAATATTGTACTAAGTTATGTGTTTTAATTTTATGTATGATGGAAATATGAACTGACTCAGCAGAAAATTGGAGTAGTGTAATTAACAAGGTTTAATCCCGTTACAATAGAAACATGTGAAACATAGGAGAACTCAAAATGTTAATATATTCATCTACTAAAAGACACAGAGCCAGAATGGTGGAGCGATTGAGGCACCACACTAGAAACGGGGAGAGCCTGAGTTTGACTCCCACCTTAGTCCCAAAGACGAGCTGGGTGACCTGGAGCCAGTTACCCGTACTCCCTCCTGTTGTAGGAAGCAGGCAGTGAGGAACTCTGTTAACATAGTGATCCGTACAATAACAAAATAATTTTCAATGATCAACATTTTTTATTCTCTTGGCATTTTTCAGACTAGCAAGAAACAACAAAGCAGGATACTAACTTCCCAGACAGATTTTACAAAAAAATAAACATTTGAAACGGCTTAAGGGTTAAAAAAGATGCAGTAAGTCCAAGCAATCTCAGCCCTGTTTTTCACCCAATCTTCTGCTCCAATGAAGCATATATTTCAAAGAAAGACAAGAAACAATGGATGGAAACTGATCTAGGAGCGGAGTAACCTGGAATTAAGGAGAAAGTTCCTACAGTGAAGCTGCAGGTGGGCCATCATCACTGGAGGTTTTTAAGAGGACAGCAGCCGCCTCTTTGAAATAAGGGCTCCTGCCTGAGCAGGGGGGGTGGGGGGTGGACTATTCTGATTGAAATAGACCCTCATTTACAAAAGAAAGCGGGGAAGGCCAATGTACAGAATAAGCCCCTGCACGAGGCCGCCCTTCAGGGCCCGCTCTTTCCTGCATTCAGGCAACGTCGGAGGCAACTGGAGGCCTGGAAGAGCCGCTTTGCTGGGCTGGCATCAGTCCAGGAGGCCCTTCGGTTCCCACGCAGGGAATCTGGGGCTGCTGCGGTTGAGGCTGCTGGCATAGAAGTAGCCGGAGGCCCTTCCGCACGCAACACTCCGCCCAGTCCGGGAGACCCTCTTTCTCGTCCGCCCACTAGGAGTGGCGCCTCCGGGGGCTGAAGCCTTCCGAGGGCGCCGCGCTCTCCCGGGGCGATGCCGCCTGTCCGCCCCCCAGGGACCCCTGAAGAGCGGACCCCGTCGGGTGTTCGGGGGGGGGGGGGAGAGTAGAACCGAGGGCCGCGCCCGTGTCTGCATCCGCGCCCGTTGCTCTAACGGGCTCCTCTCCTGGTTCTTGCGGCCTTTGCCCGGCCCCCCTCCCCTCAGGCGATCTTTGCGCATGCTCCCGCGAGTTCACGCAGTTGGCCCCGCCACCGACCCAGAGGGGCGGCCTCTCGCTGCCTGCCGGAAGAAGGTCGCGCCTTCCGCTTCCGGAGGAAAGGCTGCTGCTGCTGCTGCTGCTGCTGCCCGCGCCGCTTGTCTCCGCCAGGGGGACCCTCGAGAGGCGCCGCGCTGCCACTGGCCGCTTCCCTCCTCCGCGGGATCATGGAGCGGCTGGCCGTCGGGGAAGGAGAGGAGGAGGAGGAGGAGGAGGAGGAGGAGGGCGAGCGCCCTGTCCGGCGGCGGCAACAGCAGCGGGGCCAGCCTTACCCCTGTGAGCGGGGGCGGCGCGGGGCGTTCGCGGGAGGCGAGGCGGGCA